GGGGGTTCGGCGGCGGCCCCCCCGGCTTTGGCTCCCGGCCCCGCGGACGGCCCCGAGCACGGAGGGGGGGTCCCGGGGGAGCGCAGAGCCCCCGCCGCCGCCGCGCCGCCGCCCCCCGGAGCCGACGTGGGGCAGCTCCGAAAGGCCAAAACCTCCCGACGGAACGCGTGGGGGAACCTCTCGTACGCCGACCTCATCACCAAAGCCATCGAGAGCGCCCCGGAGAAGCGGCTCACGCTCTCGCAGATCTACGACTGGATGGTGCGCTACGTCCCTTACTTTAAGGATAAAGGAGACAGCAACAGCTCCGCCGGATGGAAGGTAACCGAACCGCCGGGCCGGCCCTCCCCGCGGCCGCGCGCGTCGTAGGGGAGCGGTGGGGCCGGAGCGTGGCACGGAGCTGCGCCCCGCGGGGACGGCGGCACCGCTGGAAGGACCGTGCCCGGCGGCCCCGCTGCCCACCGCCTTCTCCCCCCCCCTCCCGAGGGGACGGAGACCGCGGGGACCCCCCCGGTGCCCCCCTCGCCGCGTCCAGATGGTGCCGGGAGCGAGGAGCCGCTTTCTGCTCAGCCCTGCCGCCTCCGCTGGGATCGGTGCGTGGCGGGCTCGGGGGCTCCGGCACCTCCGTAAGCATCGCGGCCGGCATCGGTCACCCGGTTCGGCAACCGGGGGGGCTCTTTTGGGTGCAAACGGGGCCCTTTTGGGGTGGGGAAGCTGAGCTGTGTGCCACCTGCAGCGCGGAGCGGGTGGCACAGGTGGAGCTGTGCTCATAGCAGCCGTGTCCCCCTCCTACCATGGCCATGTCTCCATCCCACGGCCGTGTCCGCCTCCCAGGGTGCCGGGAGCTGCGGGACCTCCCCATGTCGGGACACCCGCACGGCCTCGGGTTGCGGGGTATCCCCACGTCCCCCGCCCGCTGGGGCAGTACGGGGACACGCACCCGGTGACGTGGAGCGGTGCTGGAGGTGTCCGGCTGCGCACCAGGGCGGTCAGTGCGCTGTGAACCACCGGGTGTCCCCGGGTGTCCCCGCGGATGGCGGAGTCGCGGGGCCGTGGGCTGCGTGGTGGGCAGAGCTGCTGAGCGAGGATCGGCGCAGCCCTCGCCGTCCGTCGTGGCGGTGTCCCCGAGAGGCCGAGCTGTGCCTTCCCTGCATGCGTTGGGGACGCGGTGACACGCGGCTGTGCGCTGTGGGTGTGCTCCTCCCGCACGCGTTGCCTCCGACGCGTGGCCTCGTGGCGAGACGGGCAGAGCCGGCGGTGCCACCCGCATCCCCACGCTGTCCCCGCAGCCGCCGGCCCCGCGCCGTCCCATCTCGCGGGACCCCCCTCCGTCCTGCTGTCCCCGCGCTGCCGGCGGTGCTGTTCGCCCCCGCCTCGGTCCCCTCATGGCTTCTCCCCGCGTCCCTCCCGTCCTCTGCCCGGCGCTGCGCGGTCCCCTCGGCGGTGCTGAGCCGCTCGGAGCGGATTAAAGAGCCTCGTTCCTTCCTTCCTTCCCCCCCCCCCCCCCCCCCCCGCCTCTCCCGGCCGGGAGCAGCGGTGCGGATTTCCAGCGCTTCATTACCGAGAGCGGCGCCGTCCGAGGGGGTCCCGGCTAATGGGCCCCGCGCTAATTAGCTCGGCTGCCTCCCTGAGCCGGGGCTGCACGCGGTGGGGGTCGGAGGGGCGGCTCGAGGGCTCCGCCTTCCCATGCAGTATCGCGGTGGGATCCGAACGGGATGTCCCGTCCGTTGCTGCACCCGGGCCCCCAGGAGCGCCCACATCTCCTCTTGGGTGCTGGGTTCCTCCAGGGTTCTGCTTGGGGGAAACTGAGGCACAGCGCTGAACCGGCAGCGACACCCGGTGGGGCGCGGGTGCTCCGATGGGGGAGGGATGGACCTATGGGAAAGGGGTGTCCCTATGGGGCAGGGATGCTGTGATGGGGTAGGGACGTTTCTATGGAGTAGAGATGTTTCTGTGGGGCAGGGATGCTCCAATGGGGCAGAGATGCTCTGACGGGATAGGGATGCTGTGATGGGGTAGGGATGCACCAATGGGGCAGGGATGTTTCTGTGGGGCAGGGATGCTCTGATGGAGCAGGAATCGATCTGTAGACAGGGATGCACTGATGGGATAGGGATGTTTCTGTTGGTCAGGGATATTCCTATGGGGCAGGGATGCTCCGGTGAGGCAGAGTTGCTTTGATGGGGCAAGGATGCTCCCATAGGGATGTTCCTATGAGGTACAGATGCTGTGATGGAGCAGGGGAGTTCCTATGGGGCAGGGATGCTGTGGTGAGGTGGGAATGTTCCTATGGGGCAGGGATGCTGTGATAGGGTGGGGATGTTCCTATGGGGTAGGGATGTACCTGTGGGATAGGGATGCTGTGGTGAAGCAGGGATGTCCCTGTGTGGCAGGGATGCTCTGATGGGGTTGGGATGCTCAGATGGGGCAGAGCTGCTCTGACAGAATAGGGATGTTCCTATGGGGCAGGGGTGCTGTGGTGGAGCAAGGGTATTTCTATGGGGCAGGGGTGCTCTGATAGGATAGGGATGTTCCTATGGGGCAGGGATGCTCCGGCCCCACACGGTCCCCCTGTGCCGCGCTGTGCACACATTTGGAGCTGCTGCACCCGATGCAGGGCAGCAGGCACCCGTGACTGACAGTTCTGCTTAATTAGGGAGTTGTTATTTTATCAATTCCGAAGCGCTTGAAGTTTTCTGCTCCAGCTCACGCTCTGCACTTGTTAATGGGAAACCAACACCCTGCGCCAGCGCCGCACCTGCGGTTGGGAAGCTCAGCTCTGACACCCGAAATCCATCCGGCAGCCGCTGGGCTGCGCTTCACTGTCCCCCCCACCTATGGGGCTGCAGTGCTGTGGTGGGGGTCCCATACCCCCCCCCCCCCCCCCCCCAGGTGACAATGGCCGTGTGTCACACTGTGCTGCTCTGTGCTGGGCGCTGTGCTGCAGAGCGGCTGCTGTGTGTGCGTGCATGGAGCAGCCCTGCTTGCACGCGCTGCTTTGCACACCCCTGCACGTGCATGCACAGAGCAGCGTGGCTTGCAAACCCTCCTTTGCACGCCTGCACATGTGCATGCAGGGAGCAGCTCACCTTGCACAAGCTGCTTTGCACACACCTGCATGCGTATGCACGGGGAGCAGCGTGTCTTGCACACCCACCTGCACGTGTGCATGCCTCCCTTTGCACGCTGTGCTTTGGGCATCCAGTTGTGCATGCATGGAGGAGCTTGCCTTGCACACGCTGTGTGCACGGGGCTGTCCGCGTGTGCTCCCACGTGTGTGCACAGCCGTGCATTGCATGTGGTGTGAGTGAGGGGAGCATGGAGATGGGGTTGGGGGGATGGGGGGCAGCTCTGTGTGCTGGGAGGAATGGGAGGGAAGGGGAAGGGAAGGGAAGGGAAGGGAAGGGAAGGGAAGGGAAGGGAAGGGAAGCACCTGCAACCCAAAGCCTGCACCCTGCACCCCAATTCTGCCCCCCACACGCCATGCACCCTGAACCTAAACCCTGCACCCTGCATCCCAAACTCTGCTCCCCACACCTCAAACCCCGCACCCCAAATTCTGAGCCCTCCATCCCTGCACACTGCACCCCCAAATCTGTACCCGATATTCCCTGCACTCAGCATCCTAAGCTCTTCATCCCAAACTCTCCACCCTTTGCACCCCGCACCCTGCCTGCTTCATCCTGCGTCGTGCCCCACACATCCTGCACCCTGTACCTCAGATGCTGCTGGTGTTGTGGGGGATGACGGTGTGGGGCTGGGGGATGTCTGTATGGGCATGGGAGATGTCAGTGTGGGGCTGGGGTCTTGAGATGTGGAGTTGGGGGATTTGGGTATAGGGTTAGAGTACTCTATACCCCAAATAGGGATGAGGGATGGCACGATGTGGGGCTGGGGGATGAGGAGATGCAATGTGCAGAGCTTGGGGACTCAGGGATATAGGGTTGGGAGACATCAGTGTGGGGCTGAGGGCTGTCTGTATAGGGCTGTGATCTTGGGAATGGGTGAGGCTGGGGCAGGTGGATGTGGGGCTGGGGGAGGTGGGTGCACCCCGATGCTGGGAGCTGCTGAGGGTTGGATGGGATGTGACCAGTGTGTGACTTCAGGCTTGGAGCTGCTCAGCCCCACGGTCCCACAGCACTGCACCATCCCTACAGCCATGGGCTGAACTGGGGGGCATGGGGAGCCCCTGCCCAGGGAAGATGTGGGGCTGCTGTGGGGTGGGCTGAGATGGCGTCGTTCTGGTGCACGTTCTGATTTTAATGCTGTGGGGCTGTGGTGCAGGAGCTGGGTGGCTTTTGGGATGCATGCTCCCCACTGTGGGATGGGGCTGTGGGCAGTGGGGGTGCAGAGCCTCCTGGCCCATGGAGCCGGTCTGGTGTGCTTTGGGGCTGGTTTGTAGGATTTGGGGTCTGGCTGATGCATATTAGGGTCTGGACCATGGACGCTGGGGTCTGATCTGTGGACTTTGGGGTCTGGCCAATGGACAGGCTTTGGATTTTGGCCCATGGCTTTTGGGGTTTGACTGATGGTCTTTGGAGTCTGGCTGATGGGTTTTGGGGTCTGGTCTGTGGGCTTTGGGGTCTGACCTATGGATTTGGGCTCTGGCCAATGGGCTTTGGGATGTGGTTCACGGTCTTTGCAGTCTGGCTGATGGATTTGGGGATCTGGCCAACAGATGGGCTTCTGTGTCTGTCTGATGGATTTTGGGGTCTGATTCATGAATTCTGGGGATTCCCCCATGGATTTGGGAGTTGCGGCTGCTCCTTTTAAGGGCCCAGCCAATGTTCTTCTTTGGGATTGGGCCCACGGCCGAACTTTGGGCTCTGATCCACGGTCTTTGGGGTCTGGCCAACAGCTGGACTTTGGGGTCCAGCTCCCCGTTCCTGCACTGTGGGGCAGCGTTTGGGGCCGGAGGTGCACGGAGAGGCTGTGAACAAAGGCCCCATTGAGGCACGGCGCGGCGCAGGGAGCGGATCAGGAGCCCGGCCAGGAAAAACAGCTCCGGGAGTGGGAGCACAGCGTGTCCCTGGCTGCGGCCTCGGCCCTCGGTACACTCTGTAGCCGAGGAACCTGGCGCGGGACGCGCTGCACCGCCGCCAGCTCCACGCTCCTGACCCAGCGCCGTGGGCAACCGCTGCACAACGCCGTGGGGTCGGACCCCCCCCCCCCCCACCCCGCGCTATGGGGCCGGGGGCTCCCGACCGTGGGAGGGGGTAGGAAAGAGGAGGAGGGCCGGCAGCCAGCGGGTGGGCGCCGTGCCTGGCCGGCCGGGGATGCTTTGCAGGCGGCAGCAGCGTCTGATTCAATTACCGCGCGGT